TGTGTGTGTGTGTGTGTATGCAACGACCGAAAGAAGTAGGAGGCATCGGACGATGGCGGAGCAATCATGGTGTAATTCATTTTTTATGTATTATTTTTGTTATTCGGAAATTATGTCGATATTTTACTGAACATCTACTGAAAAAGGACGAACAAAAAATTCGATGCATGCAATAATTACTTTTAAAATATTAATTATTTTGACCGTTGTTATATTGGACTATGTTTGTATTTTACAGATCAACGTAATTGCGTTATATAATTTTGCCGCTGAGCTTCTTATTTCGGTGAGTAATAAATTATCTTTTATTTTAATATAAAGTAATGGATTTGTGAAAATATATATGTATATTCCTATATGTGAATAGGCTAAAAGAAATTAGCTAATACACACATACCTGTTATTAAAAATATTACTTAAACCTGTAATATTTTAATATGAAATATTTGATAAGTAGAGTAAGTTAAATAAGAAATGATAAATAAGGATCGATTCTCCTAACAAAAATTAATTTGAAATAAAGATATATAATCTCTTACGCGCTTTATGCTACGCTTTATTCCTTTTATTTCGAGATTAAATATCCCAATAAATAAATGCGTTAAATAGATTAACATGATATACGAAATACTGTAGGTATATTGTTTCCAAAGTTTCCAACAATTTTGAGGGAAAAAGAGAAAGAGTTGACAGAGGAAAAGATTCAAAGGTAAAAAAAGATTACAAACTTGCGAATATAAACATACACGTCAAGCGGGTTTATTCTCTTCGTTTGTGCCGGCCATCGAATTTGCCGCGAAATCGATTCGGAGAAATGCGACGTTTCGCGTGTGTACATTTCAAAAGACAGATGTCGAACGAAAAACGCGTGATATTTTTATCTCCAATTCCAGTTTTGCTTGTGCAAGAATTTCCTCGCTCGTAGCAGAAGTTCGCGACTTGTCGATTATCTCGTCACACTCAGGGAGATCGTAAAAATAATTAATAGCCGTTGCAACAACTGATAATCACTTTGCCTAATAGCAATTTGTTATTCATGTGAGCGACAGGTCTCGTCGGCAAACGAACCTGCGGGAAAGAACGATTCATTATTCATTGAACCGTGCACAAAACACATACGCTCGATTAATAAATCGAATTGAAAATTAAGAATTTATTTGCTTGAAAATTAACGTCATTAGATGGACGCGTCGCAGAAATATTTACGCAAACGAGCGTTTACTTTTAAATAAATGCAGAACAAAACATTTTTTTCATTTTCGGAGACGCTCGATTGGCGATCAAATTTATCAAGCTTCATATTAAATAATTAAATTAACAACCTTGTTTAAGAAATTGATAAGACGTGGCGCGACGCGTTTCTATTTCTGGTGAATCTGCAAACGTGATTAAGTTAACAGTAATCCGCGATTATTCGGTTAGATATTATTCTTAATCTAATTTATTTTCTTAATAAAAATATATCGACTTTTACGCGTTGTATTTTAATACTTCTAGGATCATTTCTACTTCATGTTTGTATAGCTGACGTTAAATAATTAATTAATCCTCGAAACTCCTCTCTCCTTATCCGGTTCTGATAATACTTATTTTGTTCTGACTTAATTTCGCAATTTCTCAATTTATGCAGTTCGTATTTATGCAGTTTCTATTATTTATTTTTATTTAATATTATAATATGTTTTATGGGCCTTTATATAATGTGGCTTATAAATACGAATCGATGTCTTTGAAGTTTCCGCGATAAGAAGGTATTTTATTCTCAAACGATAACTGCGTGTTTCATGAATTATTAATGGTCGCCAATGATAGGTCATGTATCCTAATTTCTGTGCGTTGATGTGTACGGGCGAAGTTTCGGGCGTCGAAAAAAATCGCACCTCATTCTCCACGACGATGTATTTGTCATGCATATTAATGACGGCTGATGGACAAGCGGCGACCGAATCGCCCAACAACCTAATTTTCGCGCGTTAGGACGAGCGGAGAGTGTGGCGTTCACTTAAGTCGTTCCTCATACAGTTTATAAATGAGTTCATAATACCTGTCAATATATATTCTTTAGCGAATTTACCGGTATTATTACTCTTTAAGGAAAATATGAAAAAGTTTAATTATACGTAATTATTTAATATCACTGGTCGAAATATAAAGAGAGAGTAAAATCTTGTCTTGTAAAAACTTTAAACGGAGTTAATTTGAAACATAAATAATAAATATTTCCTAAAAATTCAAGGATTTCAATATTATACTATTCAATACATCTTACAATTAGAAGCCTGTCGAATATTGTATCTTTTGAGAAGCAGCTCTGTGCGTGCTAAAGGGTTAAGGACACCGCGATTGAATAAGTGCGCTTAATTCCCCGAAACGTTTTCGTAAACCAACACGCGTAATTCCATTCCGTTACGGCCTACGGCCGCGAGGGCAATTGACACCTATCGCGATTGAAAAAGGATGCAGCTTCGCGGAGCCGGTCATCTCGCTGCGGTCGAGCGAGAAGAACTCCCGGCGCAAAGTCTCCCCGTACAGGTTCAGGGATTCCTGAAAATTATTAACGGCACCCAGGCGTGTCATTCCTCGGGTGGAGTCAGTGGTTCTCATTGCGTGCGCATCGTCGCGCCGCGTAATTCCCGGCCATCAGTAAATCGGCGATTTGCGGTGAACGGTGACGGATTTGCAAGTCTAATGAAAAGTGCTGGGTTAACGTTAAAGCGTTATGCCCTCGCGACGCGGGGGAAAATAACAAGAAGATCGCACAGGGGCTCGCGAGAATGAGTGCCCGGAGCCAGCAAGGGATGGAGAGTGAAAGGACGAAGCGAGAGGAAAATACGCGTGGGTTAAAAGGGGAGGGGGGGGGAGAAAAAAGAATAAGTAAGTAAGTAAGTACCGGGAATAAATTAAACTAATTGAGCAAATTAGCCAGCTGTTCACGCAACGATGGTATAGAGACACGCTCTCCTCGGTAAAAAGTTATCGTCGTCACGCAGAAAACTTCGTTCTATTCGTGCGTTCTGCCTGTCCCTTTTGAATAAACGAGTATAACGCAGGACGAACATTTACCCGCGAAAATTAGGAAAAAACTGGTTATGTATTATTGATTTAAAGAATACCCAACAGTACTTAAACTGTAAATTATATCTAAATATGTTTTGTTAAATTAGTGCATTTTATTAAATACTTATAGAATCTAATCGTCCGGATGATATTTCGTCTAAGGCTGTAGAATGAGCTCTACGTTTTGTATATGCAATTTCGGCCTACAATATTCCAGGCATTACTTGACATAAAATGATACGATTATATAAATCAATTTATTAAGAGAAGACTTGAAATTCATAGATTACTATAAGTTATTTTGCAATATTACGTCATAAGATTTAAGCTTATTGTAAAAAACATTATAATACAAATTTATTTATATCCTGATTGCGTTTTATGCGATGTTTGTTACAATAATGTTTCTTTCTTTCTTGTAACTCCTGAGTTTTCATACGATATCATTAATATATACGTATGCAAAAAGAAATGAAACATTATAATGTCTTGTCGAACGATGACATTAATCAGTATAATAAAAACGGATAGGAACTGAGCAATAATTTAATGTTTAATATTTAAATATTTAAATGTATTCGGATCGTGTGATTACTGTTCAGACAGGAGAATGAACATTATTGAATTTTAATAGCGGATGATATGCGTGTTTCTAGCGTTGATTAATCGCGAATGTCTTTAAAATGATCGATTTATGATATTATTCAAATACAATAATGTCGAATGTTACAAGAAGAGATAATCTTTTATGTTCAGTATGAGATTTATATTACTACTGCAAATCGTAAGTTGATTTTGTGCAATAATATTGCTGTATTGAGCTCTTCTTTTTACCGCATAACTGTATAACTAATGAATAATCACATGCTGATCATATTAGATACTGTATACTAACTACTCATATAGATATTTACTGACATTAATACTTACAACTAGATTATTGATAAAAGCTGTGATAAGTATCAGACTATATTATACTTTTGCCATAAATGGCTCATACATGTACACACACCAGTTATTTTCATGATCTAATCGTTTTATAAATATGCCGATAGATAATTATCTTCAATATCAGAAATTGTTTAGTAATAGTAATGAGTAGTAATCGTTTAAATGTTCCAATAGACAATCGCGTGTTTAATAATTTTTAGTAATAACGGGCGGTTTGAAAAGGGTTGAGCAAATAATTAAAGACTTATGATCGACGATTTGTATGTTGCTCGAAGGATATCGCATTTCGCCATACGGGTAGGCAAATTACAGGTGGGGGATACGTGACCGCGTGGAGAACTTAAGTAATTCTTAAGTAATTCTTCGCGCGCGCGCTCGCGGGCTTCAAAACTATTATCCAAACGAAATGTCAGAGGATACAGGATAATTGTCGTTGCGCAAGAGACGCGTGATATTTTCGCCTTCGCGCCAAAGAAGACGCCTAACCACATTATTACCGCCAATTATTGCCTCATTTTTCCAACAAACTTTGACGCAGGTGCTTATTATTAAAGTGCGATTTTGAAATTACGCCATGATGCACCAATATATATATAATCAAAGATAACTAATCAATTTTAATTTGACACGCTATTATTTTTATTTAGACAGCATCAGAAATTTATTTGTCTACTCATTTAAAGGATACGGTTTAATAGATCTTGACATTTTTCGAATTTGAACAGATTTATTTTTATTTTTATTTTAAATTATTTTTTAGTTATTCAGAAGACTTGGTATGAAATAGGTCTTTTCTGCATTAAAAAAATTAATTTAGAGAAAAATTAAAGGCCGTCAAAAAAAAGTCATAATATGTTGCATATATTAGGAGTCTGAATAGATCTTACTGTATGTTTTTAATAACTGTATCGGAAATGATTCTATAATTTATCTATACCGCATTATTTTCTATTTCGTTTTACGTAAAAACAACGTTAAGAGATTCTACTGACCTGTATCCGTGCCTCCGTCAGGCCGATCTTCATGGCGAGCTCCTCCCTAAAAACAAAAAGGAAGGTAATCATTAACACAAGAAAAAGGAACCAAGGCCGCGCGTAGCCGCGGGCCTATTTGCGCGTGCGAGTTATTCGATTCTGCTATTGCGATAAACTCGAGAGTTAACGGAGTGTGAGCTTCGGCGTTCAAGTCAGTTCAGATCATATTATCCAACGAGTTCTGAATAGTGCTAAGCGATAATAATAAAACCAATATTTGCTACTTGATGGCTTTTCTGATAATCATTAATATAATACACCCAAATCTTTTTACGCGATTTTTTGCGCGTTTTTTTACGCGATTCTTTTTACGCGATTTTTCGAAGAATTTTTGATGTAATCTCTTGTGTATGTGTACAAACCTTAATTTTAATTCCTAATAATTAATTAATGAAAATTTTTCAATTGGACACATGTCTCCCCATATCATTTATGTTAACAAAGCAAGTAATAACCTAGACAGGGCTATATATTTTTTAATCATCGCTGTAGTTCCAATCATATTTCAGCAGCTCGGTTGTCATTGTCAATCATGATTCGATTATTATAATTTATACGTTATTTATTCACTCTGATTCTCTTCAAACTCAATCATGTAAATAGCTTTTAGTATAAAAAAACAGCGTGGCATATTTTTCTCTTTTTACAAGGTTAAAAATCATGCACATGCACACTATTTTTTACGTGGCTTTTCCAAATAATGTGATTTCTTCTTTCACGAAACGTAATCTACCACGTAAAAAGAGAGTTGGGTATATATACACATATATTATAGGTATTTACATATACACAATAGATGCATATATCTACATAATATATGCATTATCTCTAACAGTTTTATTATTATTTTTTTTACTAAAGAATTATTATATTATCTCATCATATTAGTCAATTGCTTGACTTAAACTTATTTACATTAATGTTAAAAAGAAGTTATGTCATTATTATTTGTTATTTTAGATAAATGCATTTAGACTCTTGAAAGGTAACTTTCTTTAATTAAGTAAAAAACCATATCTTTAATTGTTTAATTATTTTATTGTCGTTATTATTTTAAATTGATAGTCTGTTATTATTGCGCACGCTCTCCAGAGAAGCTAAACATAAACTCCACAGTATTTTAATGAATAACACTTCCTTCTGTCTCTCTTTTTTTCTTAGCTTACGTAATCAAATGCATATCTAAACGTTTGGGCAGTTAACGGAGTAAGTGCACGTAATTGCAACTGTAATTATTATCTCCCTTGAGTACGCGATTTATTACTTAGGAACGCGATGTAATTTTAACAAAAAAAATCATTTAGTTGTCTTTTAATGGCGTCGGGGAATAGCGGTTACAATCTGACCTCGTATCGCATCCGTGAGAAAATCGCAGAAACCGTTCTACGAAATAGCCAGCCTGATGTCTCGTAAAAACGCGCGCGTTCATTACCTTAATTAGTTTTGCATCCGAAGCAGATTAGCCGACATATAACGACGCACGTTGGGGATTAATTGCATTATGTATCTCGCGGCATTATGTGTGATTTTCCGTTGGATTGCTAGTTGCACGAGCCGTCGTGACGAGAGCTATTAATATCTATTACGAGACGATCAGAATCCGCGCGGCGACCGCACCGTAGTCGTCGTCGTGGCTCCAGCGACGAGATAGAATCTCGTTTTATATAGGTGACTGCGCTCACCAACGGCGTATATTACGAATACGATTATCCATGACTAATTGACCGGTCCAGCGCAGCGGTAATGACAAATAATTATTAGCTCGTGATATTTTACATAACGTCGATCATGTCATATACGCTATACCGGTCGTTTCCTTTCCGCTCGATTGAATTTCGCATCCTTCGCTCGCGGGCGCATATAACACGAAGTCTGTTGTGTCTCACGTGTATTACGTGATACTCTTCTGCAAGCATATATGAGGCGTTCGCGCCCCGCAATAAAAATCGACTCCCCTCGCACCCCGTTGTCGAGAAATCCGAACAGATGCTGGAGGCTACTGATTAAGAGAGACGTAGAATGTTCTATGTGTCAGAAAATTAATAATATTATTTATAAGTGCAGAACCTATAATTTAAAATCATGATAATTCAGCTATTATTTATCGCGAATGCCTGGATATGTGTCAGGAATTATCGAAGTGTCGCGTTTTATCACGCTGCTGGTACGCGCGAACGTACACAAAATTTAAGTGACGATAATTTTCTGTTTTCGCTCAGAAGAATGCGTACGTCATTATGTGTATCATAATTATTACGTATTCTTCAAAAGTGCAGATTGTAAGGAAAGCATTACGACTATGTTCAAGGAAACCGGGGAAATTAATAGTCATCGAGTTTAATAATTAAATTCCTTTCGGTTGATTTACGTCGCTTAAGCGATTGCTCGCAGGATGTTTCCAGTAAAGATAATAACTCGTATAAATCGCCGCTCACATGATTTCACCGGAAATTATGCGAACACATTCCCGATTTTTTTTCAATTGAGAATGAGGCAAACCGGAGGTGCGAAGGAATCATTATACTCGTACGGATAGGCGTGAATCATGACGGGTGTCAATAATTTATCCCGTGTGTCGAGAATTCATTCATTCCGGAAATATTCCGCGATTTTCGCCGTTATTTCGATAAAGAAACCGAGCGATCGTGCAATCGCGTATATCCGGCGGGGCGGGTAGGAAAAGAAAGAAGAAAAAGAAAGAATATGAATCGAGCAGTGAGACACCCCGCCGGGCGTCTCTCATCTCGCAGGCAAATTGCCCAGATGTTCCACGAAATCGTGAGGAAATCTCGGTGATTATGCCGCGCACAGAAGCTCGCGCGTCCGATCGAGCTTGGATCTCGTGTTTAGGTGCATTTCAGCCTGCAGACGGTAGCTTCCGAAATTACAGGGATTTCGGGGTGAGTCCGAAGATTGGCCGCGGTTCGTCCACGGATTCGTCCGGTTCATACGTCGCGTCGATTTTATCATCGCTCGCTGGTCCGATCTCGTTGCATCCCGCTTGAGATCCTTCCGATCTATCCCGATCGATTCCTCGAACGAGAAACAAATCTTTCCAAATCGTATTTCAACCCTATCTCAAGATATCTTATCTTGAAAGCTGCGTTTTACAACTGGCATGCAATCATAAGAAAATAGTGTGTATCGTAGATTTTAGTTTTTTAGAATTTTAATTCGTGGTTTAATTAACCAAATTGAGTTTACCGAAAGTTTATCCGATGATTGACCGGGTGATCATTAACAAAATAATCGAACGATGTTTATCCATTGATTAATCGTCCAAAACGTATTCTTCATCGTATATCGCGTATATCGGCCGGTAATTGCGAAGCGTATTCACGTCGTCAAATCATTTTGATGGCCCGCGCGCACCGACTTATTGGAGGAAACGTAACTAGAAGACGCGCGTTCGTATACTGCCGCGGTATACTCTCTGATTACCCGTTGTCGTGCGCTAATGACTACTCTGGCGAACATAGTTGCAGACGGTAATTCGTACCTGCTACCTGGCGGCTCGGCTTCGTTTTCAATGAAACGCCGAGTATGAAAGCGCGCACCTATCAGCTGCTTCTCACGAAAAACAGGCTTGTGTGCGCCGTGAACGATAAAATTACGTGTAGTACGTGATTTCTCTCTCTCTCTCTCTCTCTCTCTCTCTCTCTCTCTCTCTCTCTCTCTCTCTCTCTCCCCCCCTCTTTCTCCCTTTCTGCCCGTTACAACTGACCTGTCTGTATGACTCACAAATACGAATGAATCGAGACCAGCAGTCTAACTACTGGTCAAACTAGATAATTGACGATCACAGAAACTTCCTATATGCCTATTTTAGGCGACATAAAATTTTATATTTTACTTTTTCTAGTGAGGTATAAAATATAGAGCCATAAAGAAAACTCCTACAACGGAACAGTTGGAGATTTTATATTGGGCGCTTTCGTAAATTTCCATTGTGCCTTTGAGGATGAGGAAAGTGGTTTATATACCGCTGTTCCGCCTAACGATACAAATGTTTTATCTACATCGTAATCTTTGCGTCACTTCTGGCCATTCGAGCGCGATATAATCTTTATAGATATGTACATTACACGCACGGGTGCGCGAGCGCGGACGAAACGCACACCGCCGCGCCGTCGAAGAGAGGCGGACGAGGCTCAGGCACCTTGGGGCCCGCGAGTAATAATAATTTAGCCTTTCCCTTTTTCTCTCTGTCTTTCTCGAGGCGCGCTCGCCGGCGTCCTTCTGAATTTAATAAGATCACGAAATTTCGCGGTTAGACGGGCGTCCCTAATTACACCCGCCGTTCACCGAGACTCTCAGTTACCCTCGATTCGCGTATCATTATTATTACGTGTCCCTCTCCTAACTCCCTCGTCCACGACGTGTCCTTGCCATGGGAAATGTGCGAGTACTTTGGAAAAATCTGCTTCTGACGGGCACGTACGCAAAGATTAGTCGCGCATTCGCGACTTAATGGAAAATATGAGACCGTGATGAAAACTCTCTTGGCAAAGATCAGCCGCGGAGTCCCCGTTACGTGTCCCAGAATTCAATCTGGAAATATCTTTGTGATTAATCCGTAAATTCCTCCGATGTAAAAGGCACTTGGAATTAGGTGAAGATAACGAGATGTTACGTTGTACATTTTCAATTCTCAATTTTAAAACCCAAAGCTATTAGTATTTCGACATTTTTCATGAGAACAAATCGATCTCGTGCTTGTCAGAATCAAAAAAATAATACAGAAATTAAAATTACAATCTAATATTATTAACAGTTGTGTCTGATATTATTATCAATTACGGTTTTATACAAAAACGAGTAGATAATTGCATCTAAAAAGACAATAGGAGGAAAAAGATTAGTATCCCGCGTATCACTGTGCTACCACACTCATGTGATACGTGCGTTACATATGTGACAGAAAACACGTTTCTTTCTCATCACGGAACACACCCGATCTGTAATTAACCGCGGCCGCTACGTTCACACGCGTTGCAAAATAGA